TTCATCTTCACCAATCGCATCATCCTCGTTCGACAATTCAATTATTATCATCAAAATCGACTCATTGATCAAGATCGCTTTTTGGATTCGATGTCACATTCAAAGAAAACGAGATTTCGATCGATAAAGAATCAATAAAATTGATAATTTTCACAACCTAGAATTGCGATATAGGAAGGAAGAAAAAAGAGAAATAATTGCATTAATCTGAATTCGATTTCTTAACAATCACTAATAGAGAGAAAAGTTAATGATGTTGGACTCGATCTGTTAAATTCTAATTTGAAAACGATTTGTTTGATTCTAATCCTTAGTTGCTAATTACCATATTACCCTTCCTTTAAAAAATTATATCATTTAGTCCAAGTACTAGAATCACTTTTTTACTTTTCGCATACTACCACTTCTTAAATGAACACACACACACACAGATATATATATATATATATATATATATTATACATAATGAATCATCATAATATAAAATTACTACTTAGACCAAGATAAGTGCACATGAGACATATAGTAATTGACTGAGTCAATCAACCCCCTCCCTCCTAACTATTGTCTCTCCACCATACACATTATTACTAAATGTTCATATATGAACAAAAGGTGATTAATCTTCATAAGTAATCACTAATCAATTCCAACTTGTTAATTTTTCTTTCTAACCACCACATGTAAGCCTTTATTTCTTTATGTATTGTATTATACCAATATCGACAGAAACGAAGTATCATATGAGAATAGGAGTTAAGATGAGAATCGTAAAAAGGGATTTGAACCCTTGATCTTTAATCTTAAACGAACCCCTGAATTACATTTTAGAAGAGAAATGACCTGAGGCAGAGAAATGCAAAATTATGGCAAAATAAATCTATTATAGGCCATCAAACGGTGCAAAACACCTTGAAGGTTCTTCGTGATTGGCGAAAAGCCAAAGAATCGAAGTCGTGTTTGAACTTTACCACGAGTACCACCCCTTGTACACTACGGCATAAATCCTCCTCTGAATTTTGTAAAGTGCAAAACTGATGCAACCATTCTAGAGGATATGTCATGTACACGACTAGTTATGGTGTATCGAGATGATAATGGATAATTCTTAGTTGCTCGAACATCTAAAGTGGATGGGGTACGCTCCGATAGTCAAGGAACGTGAGGCTCTTGAACCTGTTATCTTAACCGCATTTAGGTTTCCCAAGGCATCTTTGAATCAGATGCCAAATATTCATTAAGGAACGACGTTTCTGAGTTTGAAGATATTACGATTATTATCTTGAGACATCGTACTTTGCTCCTTCAACAAGACTCTTGTTATGTCTGCTTTGCTAAACAACAAGTTAATGAATATTCATTCCCATATTATAAAGAGAAAGGAATTCCGAAGAAATTCTTCTTATGAATCAATATTCCGAATAATTAAATAAATTAATGAAAATATTTCCAATAATAGTAACGTGATTAAAAAAGAGGAGACAAATAATGGGGAGCCGTGGAAAGGGTGTCACGTGTTCCCATATTTTCCCAATACACAATATTCCTGCCTCTGTTTATTACTTATTAGTATAAATTATGAACAGATAATACTAATTTGTAATATAATATTTAGTTAATTAATTTAATATTGAATATAAATAAAAAATAATAATTAAGGTAAAGGGGAAAGGGGAAAGGGGAAAGGGGAAAGAGTGTAGGGGTATATAGGAATAGGATAGGGGTGTGTGATTCACGTGGTTACATGTGTGATGAAAACTGAAACCCATGGTTGCATATGGCACACGTGGATGCATGTGTACTAAAAGACGCATGTGGGATTTATGAAGGAAACACAGTCTCACCAGTACTCCACGCTCCAAGAATTGTACTCTCCCATTAATACTATTATTATTGCACTAACCTAACCCCAAAAATGTTGCCCGCACGTGCCATCCCCCACCTCCCTATATCTATCTATATATTTACCTCTTCTTTTCTCATTCCTTTGACAACAGGTTTAAGTTCATAATGTTTTATATGAATTTCAAATAATTGGAAATCGGTTAAAAGGATTGTTTATCAAACATTTACTTGTAAAACACTTACCGATAAAATTTAACACTATTATTTATTTATTAGGTAAGATTTTAGTCCACCAAAACGACATCGTATACAACAGTTTACCCGGTAAACGCTTACCGTGGTAAGAGTCGTCGTCTTCACTTACCGGGTAAGATTCTTGGTCCTTGTCTCGCTCTTAACGGGTAAGATTCTTGATCCTTATTATATTCATCCGGTAAAGGTAACGTGACTTGGTAAGCGCTTCCCCAGGTAAGCGTTTGGTAAACGGACCCTAAATGTTGTTCAGAGCCTCTGATCTTTCTGATTGAAGGTTCTAAGTCTCCATTTACCCGAAGTTATGGTCCACATCCTTTGGGCCTTAAGTTTGGAGTTTCTAAACATTGAGCTTTTTTCTACGGTTGGTGATCAGATCATCTGATTGTGGTTTCACCTTTTGAGATGGTGCTTATGACTTAGAGCCTTTGAGTAAATTGTAATCGTTGTTAAATCTTATCCGTTAACAGTTGTAACTATTGTGCAGTTACATATTAATTACCAAGTTGTCCATAGTCGTCGATTTCTCTTATAAATACATAAACGGTTGATCTAGTGAACATATACACATACCAGTTTGTGTCTTAATTTGGGTATGAAATTTTCTGGGTTATCCAATATTAATTCATGTTAAGCTAAGGCATATCTAAAGATGAAATATAGAATTTAGAAAGTAATTTCCTATTCACAATCCAATGATTTATCCTAGTATTTAATCATGAAACCCAAATTCTCCAACACACGTAATGCAAATTTCTGTTAGTAACGCTATTTTTATTGATGACGGATAACCATCAAGAATCAATCGCGTATCCATATTCATGATGAATATGGACAAGACATCCATCATGAAAGTTTATATTCATGATAGATATTATATAATCATTATGAATATAGATATAAGACCTGTTTTTGATGGTTTCTGATACTCAATAAACGTGTAACCTTTTGATACTCCTTTTCATTTTTACTGTGACCTTCTTTTCTCTTTTTATCCCATTATATTTTTCTTAGTAATTTCTCTTCATCTTATAATAAATATTTATAAATAAATATAAAATTATCATGTTTTTTATTAACTAAATAACAATTATATATCTAATAAAAAAAAAGTAACGAATCTATTCGTCTCATAATTAATAGTAAAATTGAAACGTATCCACAGTTTTTTATTTTTAAAATTGAATACTTATTTTTGAAATAAAATAAATCAAAAACATGGTTATTTCAAAAAATAAAAATAATATATAACTTAATAATATCGTTTCTTTAATTCCAAGGGCGATGAACGTAGACGATAGCGTCCTTCTGACCCACCTTGATTTGGATCCGTCGATAACGAAATATCGTAAATTGTTAAGCGATATTCATGTATTCGCTTAGATTACGAGAAGATTTGATGTAAAATAAAGTATTAACAGGTCCTTGTGTATACGTATAGTCTATTTTTGTTTTAAAACCATAACTATCTCACTTTTATAATCAAAGTCGATGACATGTGTTCGTGTGATTGACTACATGCCAAAATAACACCTACATTAAATATATTGTCCTTTCGGTATTTAAATGTCCTAATCTTATTCACAAGAAGCCAAAATCCCGTGACGACTTCCGTTCGTTAACTGAATTTTCCATATTTTTTTGGATTAATTTTTTTTAATCAAATTAAAAGAAATAGAAATATTAAATATATGATAAATTAAAAATGTAGTAATATGATTAGAAAATAATTTAATAGTAATAAATAATAATAAAAGAAGTATAGTAGTACAATAATAGGAGTTGCCACGTAATTGGAGCCCATGACGTGGGGCATTGTCTAGGTTCATCTGATCACTTGTGGCCCATCTCCATATATCTCCATGGTCCAAACCCAACTGCTTCCAAAATTATTTGGATTCAAGAAACGTACAACTTTTTATTCCAAACGTACAACTCTTATTACCCTCCAAATAATTGAAATTACAAAAGCCATTTGTGGGGTTTTGGCCAAGCCTAGTACCACAGTGCCCAGCTGTCCTCCATGTGAATGCTTCTTCATTTCTGTTTCTTCTTTTGTTTTTATTTATGTTTTTTTAAATAAATAAACATAATTACATATCTATGTATATAAGTTACGGCAACTTTCAAATAAAGGAAATAAATGTTTAAAAAAATGATTTATATATGAATTATTGATGAACAAATATGAATATTCATATGTGAATATTCACATTTCATGTTTAAAACAATTCATATATGAATAATTTATTTTGGAATATTTTTCGTGTTTGAGCCTTCTTGATATAAACTAATTGTGTGATATATATCTTTCTTTATAATGATTTAAAGAAATATTTTAATTGGTATTGTATTTACTTATAGAAAAACTAGCTTAAATGATTATTTCACTCGTTCAAATTAACCTTTTAACCATTTCTTTTCCAGGTTGATTTAAATTTCACTACATTCGTAATATTGGGAACCTAGCTAAAAGACAAAAAATGTTAAATAAAACCAGTTTACCGTTGCAATTGCATATTTGTTTTGAATTTTTGGTCTTTAGCTATATTTTTTTTGAAGTACATAATATTTATATACAACAAATAAACTCACACACCCTCTTTACCTATGGAGAGGTTTGAACCCTGACTTCTTAGAAGGCCAAAGACTATGATACTGCTAGGCCAAAGACCCTTTAGTGTCTTTAGTTATATTACAAACATAGATATTACGTAGATAGTGAGATTTGGAGCTAACTTGAAAGAAGAATGGTTGGTATATGAACTTGAAGGAGGGAAATGTTTATTAAACTTAAGGAGTAAATAAATAAATTAGATAGAGAGACACAAAGAGACATACATAAACACCCACAGAAACCAATCCAACTGGCACTTTATGATTCACTCACCCCCTCGAATGCTGTACATCACGACAAAATTAGTCTAAGATTTGCCTCTGATTTCTCTTTTGTTCTTTCCCCTCAATTCTATCTCTCCATTCTTTACTACTTGCTCCTCTGCATATAAAGAACACACTCAATATCTCTCCCACCCCCCCCTTTTTCTTCTTGATACAATCTTGAATATAAAGAAAACTCCCATTTGGGTTTTTTGATTCGATTTGCGAGAATGGAACAAGTTTTTGGTTCTGGATGCAGTAGTGGGTGTGAGTCTGGTTGGACTTTGTATTTGGAACACTCGATGTATCCTTCACATTCTCTTCAAAACCCCAACAATGGCGATGGCTTCATCTGTAAAAAAGGTTCATTCACACATGAAGATTATGAGGTAGAAGAGGAAGAGGAAGAGGAAGAGGAAGATATGTCAATGGTTTCAGATGCATCTTCTGGGCCACCACATTTTCAAGAACAAGAAGAGGAATGCTTCAACACCAACAACAATGGCGGTGGTGGTGGTGGTGGCTGCTGTGTTTATCCTCCTCTTCCTTCGTTAATCGATCATCCAACAAATGGAAAAAGGCAAAAGATTCCAAAACAACCAAATTTGCATAGAAAGGTTCAAGATTTGCCTTCTTTCCTCGATGATACTGCCAGCTCCCCCTTCTTCAACTTCTCAAATGTAAGAACCTTTTTCCACTTCATTTGTCAGTTTCTCTTTCTTTAAATGTGCAAAATGGCAAAAGTACAAACTGCTTTGAGAGAGTCCCAATGTTGGTTTTGGATAGAATGACTGAATTGAATTGATGATTTAAACTTCGTTTTCCACAGAACAATCTAACAGTGACCAGCAACAAAGCTTCAATGGCGGATAATGACATGATAGACTACTCGCAGGGATACTCCACCACCTACTTTGAGGTAGTTTTTTACAAAGTTTGAACAACCAGCATTACTGGGTTTGCTACAAATAGTATGATTAAAGCTTTAAAGCAATCAATTCTTGATTTTGTAGGGAAAATCTACATTTCAAGATCACTTTGGATTCTTCCACCCCTCTGTTTCTGGTACTCAACTGCAACAAAACCAGTTAAGTGTTTTCATTTTCCTGCATTCTGGGGTTGTACTCTATAAACCATCCATGCATCTTGATTCTAACAAAATGTACATATTTCTAATGCACACCAGATGGTTTGAAGGGAAGAGGTAGGGATGAAGCTGTTTACAAGAAATGGCATGGCTTAAGGAGGAATTCAAGATCCAAAAGAAGAGATCTTGTTCCTTTTATTTTTCTTTTTATTTTTTTTGCATTTTTTTTGCATTTTTTAGATGTAAAATTGTCAATTGCAATGAAAACAACCTGAGGAAAAAAAAAAGGTTTCTGGGAAATGATCTCCCTGTTCCTCAGAATTTAATTTTGTGGCTGCCATTTCTCCAAGTCCCAAAGCAGAAACAACTAAATCCAGATCAATGTACAACTCTTAATGCATGGCACTGTTCTGGGCTTTTGATCGTTCTAAATCTGGAAGAAACTGATTTATCTTAATATGACATATAAACAATCTTGGAAAGTCTAGGAAAAAACAATCAGATATTCGTTTAACTTAAAAATCCGTCATTTTTCATCGCCATTTTTCTTCGCTTTTATGATGATTACGTCATCAAATACATCTTCAAAAGATATAGAAAACCTTTTCGTTTAAAGAAGCATGTGGTTTAAGGTTCTCGCAATCTTTTCAACTGTTCACATGATTTTATTAATATTTCTATCGTCACCCTACATCCGATATCAAATTCATAATAATTTACAACTGTAACCTTTGGATTTGACCTTTCTAAAAAAAGCGCTTACGGAAAAAAAGAGATAAGATTTGGACAATAATTGGACTAACACAATGTCTAACTTTCCAGAACATTTGACAACTTTTCAATGCACGAATGTGGACAAATATCACAACACACCATAAAATAAATAACAAAATACAAAGCGTGACAAAGTTAGTCAACAAAATGTAAAATATGTACAACTTTCATTGCATGAAATATATCTAATTATGATTGTATCGTTGAATTTAAAGATTATTGACCAAACGATGCATAATTTTTGATGCTTGAAGTACAATTCAGTAGGGCTTGCTCGATAGAAAACATTGGGAAGAGGCTTTTTGTCTCTCATATTGACCGGATCGAATGTCTCTTTATATCAAGACAGCCATATTTATTTTAATTTCCTATTTAATTGTAAATTCAAGATCTGCATTGAATTTGTTGTGAGTTCCAAGTTCCTATAATTAATGATTATTATTTGGGAAAAAGAGGATTTTTTGCCATTCCTAAAATCAACTTTAAAGGTTTCTGGGTATTTATCTAGTATACGAAAATACAAAATTCAACCACAAATGTGATGTCTGATTGGTTTGAGCTTGACTCCAAAGGTTAAAAGTACTAGGAAGACACAAATTCAAATCCAAGGTGAAATAAAAATCCCCTTGTGTCCACAGGAATTCAAATACAGTAACTTCAGGCTATCTTTTGTTCATATCCTAATCCAACCAACGTGTACTTACATTGCATTCAATAGGATGGCCAATATATTAAATTATAGGCATCGTTTTACTGCCAGTGTTTCCTGTAAAAAGTGGGGTTAGAAATTGTTTTAATTCATGGGGGTAAACTTTACCAAAAAAGAAAAGTTGTAGATAGGGTTTGGGAAAACAATATCGGGATTTAGATAAGACAAGAAGCAATTTCACACATGCTTCTTGATGACCCTCTTTACAAAAAAGGTCAAAATATTATAAAAATGTGTACCCCATGCAGTAATGCTTGTACATTGCTTTCTTGGAAAACACATCACCTTGATAAAGACCTGAGATCCTGCTTGATCCAATGGAACATGCTCATAATTTCTCTCATTCTTGGAAGTATCTCATTAGTCAAGACCCCTAACATTTTTTAACTCCAGAAATATTCAAAAATTTGGTTGCATGGAATCAATGATTGACCTTTTTGTCAAATCTTTATCATTCCCCTTTGATTTCTTTATTAATTCTTCAAATGACCTATATATACTACTTTATATTATATAATATGTATTTCTAACGTATTCTATCCCATATCATGTCGGAAAACGGTGAAAAAATGGATGATATATATCGAGTTTAAGATAGAGTCGTTATTAAGTTGTTTATTGTGGTGAGATAAGATTTGAAAAAGGGTATGGGAAAAACATTTGTGTCGTACCAACCACCATCCAGAAACATTTCCTTCAATCCCTGTGACACTTCATTAAAATTGGTACCATATCACTTGTCCCAAGGCAGGAATTCACCTACAACTGTTCCCAATTCCGTAACATTAGTATGTTCTTCCATCAGATCGACCATATGTTTAATGGCTTCCATTCCCTTATCTCTGACAACAAAGAGATTAAGCTCAAGACAATTCTGGCATCCATAGGTCCACAACCATGTGGTCTAGATCAGGAGTATTGCTTGTACAACCAGTACAAAGATTTAGTGTTATAAATGAAGTTGTAAGACTATTCTAATAGACCAATTATAAATAAAAAGTCTAGAATTGCATTTGTGGTACGGGGGATGAGCTAGTGCTCTGTAAAAAGGCGGGTTTGGATGGTTGAGCGATTTCGGATGATGACTTAATGGGGTAGCAAGTAACATGGGATCCGACCGGGGTAGCAAGTAACATGCACTTAAACAAGAAAAAGAAAGGGAAGGGAAGGGAAAAGGGAAAAAGAAATGAATTCACATGCCCACTTGATTATTCTTATCAGATATGTTGAAATATGACAAGTTGTATATTTCAGATCTAGAAAATATACTGAAAATACACAAACCCCATTTGAATACAGCTGGCTCCCATAGCAGTTAGGAGCTTCATGACATAAATTTGCAGACAGGACCACAGAGATACAACAATCTTTCATTATCAAAGTACAAGGAAAAATGTTACATATCAACTATGGGACTACACCACCACCAGGACGCCCATGATGCATGCTTAATTCATAAAGAAATCCTTAGAAAATCATTCTACCTAAGCAAAATCTAGTACAGCTTTCCAATCAGATCTTTCAGATTGTGCGGATCGAGAAGATATATACAACCTTTTTTTTGCAGCCCATCACACGTTCAGGTTAAGGATCATATATGATCAACACTTGCATCAACATGTAAAGGGTGAAAAGCTGTTGGAATGACACCAATTGCAAAGCAATGATCATGCTGTGAATTAAAGATTTGTCAGTATCTTGTTTCTTGTTTCAGATTTGATCGTTCTAGAGCTGGACGATGGGAGTTTAAAAGAAAAAAAAATGATGTGCTAGATAGCTGTAACTAAATACAAACAACCAAGAGTTTAGGCATCAAGAAAGAGAGGATTGATTATTCAAGGGTACACTTTTCATCCACAATTTCCTGGTCAAGCTATAGCTAGATAGGGAGGGACACAAATGGCGGGCTTCTTTAAAATTTCTAGCTAGCAAACCCTTAGGCTGTAGGTTTTCTGATAATGGGTAGGCAATTTAACCTCCACATACCCTTGCTTTGGGAGGTAGAGCCCAGGATTTAATGGCTTTGAATATTGGCCAACTCATCTCTTACCATGGTTGCTTTCACTCTCCATTGTATCACTTCTTTAACAAAATTAAATTTACTAATATATGTCACCTAAAACTTCATAACTAAGCATGCACAATCGACCTGTAGATATATATATATATATATATATATATATATATATATATATATATATATATATAATTTTGAAACAAGATGTTAATTCCATTTATCTGCATCCAGAATTTTTCCATTAATCTGGCACTACGAGATATTAAGTAGTCATTTGAAAAGGATTAATTAAGAACAATCATGAACAGACTTTTCTTTACATGTAATCCCTTGGGTTAACTTTATCAGTTAAATTGAGCCGTGGGTTCGGTTTTAACACAGGAAACTGGAATAGACGTAGTAAATGGGGTGTCGGCAATGGGGCGGACACGCAAAGGGGACCCCATATTCGTCTTTTATATCTGTCTGGTCTTGGCTAGTACTCTAGCTTCATATCCATCTAGCTCGTTTTAATCATCCAACCTGGGCTGGTCCTTTTAAATTTAGTGAACCTTCAATATATTTAGCGAAAACCTAGCTCGCCCGTTTTTATTTTGATTAACTTGGATATCTAACCCGTTATTTGAGCCGATATTAATCCCAAGTTGACCATTACTTTGAGATAGCCCGTAGTCACTGCATTTGAACCTACGTGGCTATAAGAAGATTTTTATTTCTCATTGGATTTGAACCCGCTACGATCCCTAAGGTCCCATTGTACTGCTGTCATTTGACAACCATCGTATCATCATGTACAACACAATCATTACCCATTTTCAACATCCACAAAACCGATATATAAGATATGTGGAAGATGGGATGTTTTGTGACAGCAAAACCATCAAGAAAAGATATAGTAGTAGACAGATAGGAATAGGATTTGTCCCTTTTCGATCCGTCGTTTATATATAGTCCTTCACTTTTGGCACAAACTTTCTTGCAATTATTGTGTTTTATTTCAGGTTAGTAAAAAGCGAATTTGCTGTTGCCAAATCACCTTTGGCTTTTTCACATGTTGTTAAGCTAATGGAATAATCACAAAAATCTTGATTTAGTTGGCTGAAATTGCATAAAAGTATTGTAAGTTTTATTAAATCAAAAGTTGTCCGCTTCATCTTGATTGTATCTCCATTTTTTTTTTATCTTACAAGACCCTAAAGAAAAAAAAGTTAGAAATTAAAATACTTGCTAATCATGAAGAAAACTCGAACTACGACCTACGACAAGGAGTTCCAAGGCTTAGGACTGTTGGAAACTTATGTTGGTGTTAATTCGAGTGTCATAACAGAATCTTGGAATTCACTACACCAAATGTTGTCTTAGACAACAAATGTAAATTGCATATGTTGCTTAAGATACGTTAAGACAACAAAGTCTATTATATGTTGCCTAAGTTTCCACTAATGCAACATATGGTTCTATGTTGCCTAAGTGTGACCTTAGTCAACATATAGATGATTCTATGTTGCCTACATGTATCTTAGGCAACATATTAGCATATGCTGCCTTAGTTCAATGTTGGTCACTCATATTTTTTTTGAAATCCGTCAAAGTTTACTTAGTCAACATATATTTTTATACTATGTTGCCTAAGGTAAAAACATAAATCCAACAAAGTTTACTTAGGCAACATATATTCATATTTATATGTTGCATAATGTAAATATTATAAATTGAACCCAATTTACTTAGGCAACATATATTCTTGTTTCTATGTTGCCTAAGGTAAAAATTATAAATTCAACCCAATTTACTTAGGCAACATATATTCTTGTTTCTATGTTGCC